TTCAAACCCACCAGCCACTCCTCAGAAGGAAGATGGGGCAATCTACTTCCGTAGTGATACTGCCTCGGAAACCCAAGGAGGGGTCACTATGAGTCGGGGCTGACTCGACAGCACATAACAACAACAACAACAATATGCTGTATGGTGAGAGAGCATAGTAAATTAGCAATGGTGGATAACCAGGTGTTGAATCAGCTGTGATATGATTTAAAAACAAGGCTTGGTGTTTCTATGCGGTTGCAGGTTATTACCCGAAGAGTTGCCCAGCTAATTCATGGCCTCTGTGTCAGGAAGCTATTAATGATACCCTGCATTGTTAGGAAGCAGGTTATAACACATACTAGCCCACGTGGCTAAGGCTTGAAAGCATTCAGGTGAGACTTCTAGGAATTTAGGAGAGGGAGTATCTATCCCTAAGTAAAAGCACCGTGGGGTTGGAATAATTTATAGACAGTGGGAGTGTCTAGAAAACTCTAGCTGTTCAGGAACAAACAGCCTAGGCCATAGATGGTTCAGAATCAGGTGGCTCTTATCTTTGAAGAGACCAACTTGTATCACTACCCCCTGCTGTGAAACAGTATGCTTTGGGCAGATTTTGGTCTATTAAGTGCACAACTGCTACCTCAGCTTCTAGAACAGGGTCCACGCCATGCCAGTCGCTGGTTTTTGTTTGTTTTAAATGCTTCACTCCCTCATTTCCTGTAAGGCTAAATTAACCAAAATACATTGGACCTCACTGTCAGAGCCCTTTGAGTTTTCTGTTAGGACTTTAATATCCAGGGCCGAGGGTTTCCTTATTTGGGACAAGCCAGTACCTAATTTAGGTCACAAACCTGCTGGCAGCCTTAATTTCCTTTTGAGTAATAATACTAATAAAAATCCAAATTCACTGTCCTCAAGTCAGTTCTGACACACAGCAGTCAGACATAGCAACCACCGTCAGGTTTGCAAGGCTGTAAATCTTTGCAGAAGTAGATCACCCTATCTTCCTTTGGTGGAGCAGCTGGTGGGTTTTAACCGGTGGCCTTCTTGTTAGCACCTAAATGCCTTATCCACTATGCCACCAGAGCCCCTTTTGAATAGGTCATGGTTTTCTATTGGTCATGGTTTTCTTATGATATGAGTTCTCAGCAACTTTATCCATTCCGATCTCACACTGATTAACTTCCACATATTTCCAAACTCATTGGAACTTTCCTCTCTCTTTACTTCTCTGGAAAAACACAAGACATTCTTATATGCTGGTAGCACATACAAACTTCTGCTTTATCAAAATCTAGAAAATGTGATTTAAACACTTGCTTGAGAGCCTTTTTTATTCATTACCAAGAAATCCAAACGTACTGCCATGGAGTTTATTCTGACTGTAGTGTTCCACAGGGTTTCCAAGGCTGTAAATCTTTACAGAAGTAGATTGCTTCATCTTCCCCTCTCAGACCAACTGGTGGTTTTGAACTACCAACCATTTGTTAGCAGCCAAATACCTTAACCACTGTACCACCACCAGAGCTCCTTTTTATCCTGTTGTTGTTGTTGTAGTTAAGTGCCATCGAGTCATTTCCGACTCATAGCGACCCCATGCACAGCAGAATGAAACACTGCCCGATCCCGTGCCAGCCCCACAATCCATGCTATACTCGAGCCCATCATCACAGCCACTGTATCAATCCATCTCCCTGAAGGCCTCCCCCTCTTTCGTCGACCCTCCACCCTACCAAGCATGACATCCTTCTCCAGGGAATGGTCCCTTCTT